TGCAATTCTGCAACATAACTTGAATAAAAATTATACAAAGGACACTTCTTAGAATCTTTCTTGATTTTGCTATCTTCCGTTGAAGTGTCTACAACATTTTTATGAGTTTCTGTGTATTCAAAACAATTAAACATAACTCCTTATTTGTGTGAACAATCTGAGAACGTTTCGTGATATGAGAAATGAGAACTGTTACATTCAAACCTGTACATAATTTGAATGACTCGCTACACACAAAATCAAGTGCGATTGGATTGGTCAGGATTATACTGACCTGCCAACGGCTAGACGCTAGTGGAAGACTTGACTTTCATGGAAGGGGGTCAGAAAATTGGAAGGGGAGTACTGGATTAATGGTAGAGTATTTGTTTTTACAAGACTTTTTACTCAGAAGTGATGCCCGAAATAAGCCGCGAAGAAATAGAAAGAGCAGTTAAAGAAATAAAAAGGAATACATAATTCCATCGCCTGGAAGCGATGGAATCCTATCAAAAATGCTGAAGGAAGGCAGAGAAGAAGCCATCACATATCTAAAAATACTATTTAATAAATGTATATTCCAAGGCAATATATTCAAAGAATGGAATACTGCTAAAACAATACTACTACACAAAAGGGGAGACACCACAGACCTGAAAAATTATCGACTAATGTCTCTACTTTTACAACTTTACAAAATCTTTACAAAGATTATTACAAACAGGTTAACAATTAAATTTGGATTTAAAAAAGGGTATAGCACCTGTGATAATCTATATACTTTGAAAATCCCAATAGAAAAGACTAACGAATACAATCTCCCATTATGTCTGACTTTTATAGATTATGAAAAACTTTTTGATACCGTAGAACTTTGGGCAATAGAAGAAGCATTAGTCATACAATATTTACGAACAAGCTGAAATGATAGTGACGTTGGGTAATTGAATCGAAACAAGACCAGTAAAAATCAGCCGAGGAGTAAGACAAATTATTTACAGCTGCCCTAGAAGATATTTTTATGTCTATAGACTGGGAAAATAAGGGAATCCCTATTCACGGAAAATACTTAAACCATCTTAGATATCCAGATGATGTAGTATTAATAGCCGATACGTGGAATGCTCTGAATACGATAACTAAAGACGTATACACAGAATTCCTAAAAAAAAATGACTGAAAATGAATTTCAGCAAAACTAAACTAATGTCAAACAAAGATGACTTCAAATATACATCTTTAGGTCAAAATGTCAAATTAAGCAAAGAAAATCAAACTACCGAAACAAGCAGATGTGTAAAAATGGAATGGGCAGCATTCAAAAGACTCTTATACGTACTTAAACATGAAAGTATACCTCAAAGACTGCGAACCAAAGTGTTTAATTTCTGTATCCTACCTGTACTTACATATGGAGCTCAAACATGGACATTCACTAAAATAAACATGGAAAGGATCAGAAAAACTCAGAGAGCTATGGAACGACAGATGCTGGGTATCTCACTCAAAGACCATAAAACCAATGAAGAAATTCGTAATAGAACAAAGGTAAAAGATGCTGTGGAACAGGCAGCTAAACTGAAATGGAAATGGGCGGGAGATAACGAACGTCTTGGCGGTCATATAAAGTCAAAAGACCACGAGGAAGACCGCAAATGCGCTGAAGCGACGATATTAAAAGAACTGCAGCAACCAATGTGGAAACGTCTTGCTTACAACAAACATGAATGGCGAGAATTAGAAGAGGCCTATATTCGGCATTCTGAATAGAGAGAAGGGCTTTAAGATTTGTTTTTACAGTGTTTTGTAGGACAAGAAGCAAGAGATAGAAGAACTGATTTAGAGTCTGTAAGTATAAGAGCTTTCTGAATTGAATAAATTGTAAGGTCATGTAGATAAGAAATTAATAATGTAGCAACTGAGAATGAAGAACAAGATTAAAGATTGATCTCACTACAGACAAGAAAACTGTTGCCACAAACCACACAATTAAAAACTTACTTTTACAAAGAGTTATCCACATTTGTCCGTTTAATGACAAGAAGAACGTTGTGATATTCAAGAAACTTATTATTAGAATCAATTATTCGAAGAAAAATTAAAAACCATTGATTCAGAAAACTGGCTATTGTATATACTTCTGTATATTGTTATTCTAAAAAAATATTCAAAGAAAACAAAAAGTGCAGCATTCTACCATAGTGCCCCCAATTTTTATTATTATTTATGCAGCTTGATTATTTTAAAATTAGTTTCGGCTACCTACACCTTCAAAAGCTTTAGTATTATTAATTAAATTAAAACAAAACAAATACGTACGTAAAACTGGTAAATCTAGTCCAAAACGATATTAGAAGACTTACCTACTTAGAATGTGAACGTACTTTGTGATGGATTGTGCTATGAATGAAATTATTTACGAAATGTCGAAATCCTGATATCATGATATTCACCTAATTGTTTTGTATATTGTTTTAATGGAAATAATAATATCGGTTTAAAATTTATTTAATTCTAGATTATTTTGCTCTTGTTTTTACAACAGACATTTATTGGTAATCTTTGTTAGACTTGGATTCAATTAAAAAGTAAAAATTATTCACAACATTCACTAATTAGATTTAAAGGAAACGAAAATTCAATGAAGTTATAAATAATTCGACAAGGTTCTCTTCTAAATTTACTTATTTTACACTAATCTACTGAGCACATAGTTTCTTTTTGATTTAATTACTATGAAACGAAGAGAAATAATTATTGACGGCTATATTGGTTTTTAAATTGTATAAAATTTATTTGATTCTTCTTCTTCTTCGCGTGCCATATCAGAATTATCCAACGTTGCCGATCACCATTACGAAGGCTTCTGGATCTTATGCAATATGGAATAATTGTCCTACATTTGATATCTGAGTCCATTCAAGAATATTTTTTTAACCAAGAAAACTTTTACTTTATGGTCTCCATTTTTTTTGTAAGGAATGCGTTTCAATCGACTACCAGGCTGCTCAAATTTGTATTCATCGTCTTCTTCTTTATAGTCCGAACTATCCAACGAAGATATTTTATCGTCAAAGAAGAAATCTCAGAAGTGACCTTAGAAATTTCCAAAGAGATGTTTGCAGAAACTTTATATTCCAGAGAAGAAAGAAATATCGCTAAAATCTTTATTTTGTATAGAAAGAATATCCATAAAAATGTTGGAAATATTAGAAGAAACTTTTAAAATAACACAAGAACACATTTCCAACCATGTGATATTATCAGAAACTTAAACCACATGGGAAGAAACTTTAGAAACATGAGAGGAAACTTTTAAAATCAACGAAATCACAGCATCATACTTATATGCTCCGTATATATTAAATATAATACCATTTTACACATATAATTTAATGAATATACCATTACTACTTATTATTTCAAAAATCCAAATAAATCATAAGAGATATCATAGAAATAAAAATAATAACAGGCTTTTCGGAACATGCTATCTGGATAACGACATGCATTCATTTATATATATGGAGCAGAATAAACTTAATTTCAACAAAGTCGATCAGTTTGATTTACTTTTTGAGCATTAATATAATATTTAATATTCCTATAATGTACGAATGAACAGTAGATCTGAAAGAGTAATGAAGAAGAAGAATATAATATTTCGTTAATGTAATTATAACAGAAAATAAACATTTGCTATTTATTGATGATTTGCTTAAACAATATATTTCTGCTGCGAAATCAAAACAGTTTTTTGAGGCATTAGCTTAGTGATTGACTAGCTGCATCAGCGATGACCAATAGGGAGCTGAGGAATTTAAAAGTGGGTTATAAGACTTCCTTTCTTCAAATATTTTGAGCCATGAATAAATATAAAACGCCGATGAATCGATTCTCTTTTGAAATGTCTTCCAACTCAGGCGGTCACTTTTTCAAGTGAAGATAATTCCAGCAATGAATAAATCACGATAAGTATTGCAGCAATACTACTTGAAGCCACAAACCGAAGTTGACGTTGATTGGTAAGCCAAAAAAACCAAATCTTTTTGGGACGTTAGAGCAGAAAAACTACCTGTTAATTACTTTAACCAAAAAAAGGATAGATACATACAATATTTTTCAAGAGTGGTTTGAACTACAGTTGTAGTAAAAGTCAAAAACATTTAAAAGTAGACAATAGGCTATAAAAAGCTGTGTTGTTGATTGACAGAGCTCTTTTACGCCCTAAAATGCTTGTGCTTAAGTCTGTCGACAGCAAATTATTTGTCAAATTTCAAACATGACTGCGTTAGTGTGGTGAACATTTTCACATAAGTGAATTATGAGTTTGGGGCTGTTGGGCTTGAGACAATTATGCCGACCGCGGGAAAAGTAGCATTCTTTGATGATTTTTGCCAGTTGTGATCGTTAGCGGGTCAATAAGGGATCGATTTGAAGCATTTGAAACATGGTGCTACGGAAGGATGTTACAAATAAGCTGTCTATACAGAGTAAAAAATATTAAGGTTGTTAGGAGAATAAAGAAAGAAATGGAAATAATAAATAAAATTAAGATAAAAAAGTTGCAATATGTAGGTCATGTGATTAGAGGAGATAAGTGTTTATTGTTACAGATGATAATAACCTCCTAATAGGAGACGAAGAATACCTAAGGAAGAAGTATAAGCTGGTTATAACACATGCAATGGACAGTAAATCACACTACCTTCTCAACTGCCGTCAGCTGTCAACGTGACGGCTGTCTGATGTCAATACTCGGGATTTCTGATGTCAAAATTACAGCTATCAGCAGTTATTTGGTATTAGTTTTATAACATTTAATTTTTTACATAACTTCTAAGTGAAAAAATAAAAAATGTAAGTTTATTCTACTTCGTACATATAAATGAACTAAATGGAAAATTAAAGAAAAACATAGTATATTTAAGTGGAAAACTACAAATAAACTTCGTAGTATGCCAAATAAATAAAAGTATGTTTAGCTTTAAACTTCCAAACGTGCTGGCTTTTCTACTTGCCTTGATTATATCCAGGATAAGCTCCTTGCTGTGGATACCCTGATTGCTGTGGATAAACTGTTTGTCGTGGATAATTACCTTGCTGTGGATACCCTTGAGGATATCCCGATTGGGGATATCCCTGTTGAGGATATCCTTGTGGATAATTACCTTGTTGTGGATAACCTTGTTGTGGATAACCTTGTTGTGGATAACCTTGTCTGGGATAACTTCCTTGTTGTGTGTATCCGGGATATCCAGATCCTACCTGGCCTCCTGGATAGCCTGAACCTACTTGACCACCTGGGTAACCTGAACCTACTTGTCCTCCTGGGTAGCCAGAGCCTACTTGGCCTCCTTGATAGCCACCTGAACTAACTAAAATATAAAAGCAGCAACACTCATATACAAATACAAAAAAAAAAAATACAAAAAACTATACAAGATAATATTTTTCTTCGCCCTGTATTGAAACCATTCTTTATTTAACCGATTTCTATACACAAAACAGCCGTTTGTAGTCAAGATGAAAAAAGCACAGTGAGTTTTTTTGCGCTTCCCAAAAGCTAAGATATTTAATTATACCTCGTTTACAAATTTATTCATAGAACTCTTACCTATAGTGCAATTCTTTTACATCTTGGTTAAAAACAGCAAATCAAGTAGGGTAGTTGGGGGTAAAACACGCACAGGGCAAAAGGACGCACCTCATTTAAATTTGCGGATAATATCCAGTTTGAACCGATTTTCAGATGGTTCCTACATCAGCATCTCTGCATGTTATAAGATTGGCTCCTAACACTAACCCTGAAGACTTAAGAAACAGCCTTAGAGACAAGTTTTCAGAAGTGACCTGCGAGTCTGTTGAGTCAAAACATCCAGACATTTATTTCAATGAAGGTCACTGTTAACCAAGATAATTTCAGAAAGGTTTGGAATAGAGAAGTGTGGTCTACTGGTGTGGTAATTTCCCGGTAATTTTTTATCAAGAGGAGGGTGCCGACAGAAAAATAAACGGACCCTCTCAATCAACACAAATAGTACGTAATTACTATTTAAATGGGAATAAGCTACAATTAAAGGTTAAAGTACGTTTATTGACGTTTCAATTTCCACTTCGAAAATCGTTCTCAAAGAAATTGAAACGTCAATAAACGTACTTTAACCTTTAATTGTGGCTTATTCCTATTTAAATAGTAATTACATTAAAAATGGCACTAGAAAATAGCTTTAGAACAATCATAATAGTAGGTAATATAAACATTAATAAACCAAAGAAATTGATGTCAATATAATATCAAAATGTACGTGGTTTAAGAACCAAAACCAATACAAAATATGCTAAAGCCCTAACTGAAAGCTATGATATAATTGCCCTTACTGAGACATTGCTAAAAGAAGGTATTTTTGATTCTGAACTTTTCTCGACAATAGGTACACAGTGTTTAGGAAATATAGGTCAGACCATAGGCTGCGAGGTGGAGGAGTATTTTTAGCAATCAAAAATGTAACACCTTATGCACTTGTTAATGTTACCTGTGATAGTAATTGTGTAATACTTAAGATAAAGATTAAGATTGTGATGCAGCAGTTTCTTAATATTAATAACTTGCAAAAATAAATATTATTCCTAATTGTATAAATAGATTTTTAGATTTTGCTCTGACTAATATAGATGTTTATACTGTGGCAAGGTCTGACTGTCCATTAGTGGCTGAAGATTCGTATTAGCTCGTTCTCATCTTCAGTATCAGAGTAAGTGAAATAACGGATTTACCAGGCAACAAAAAGGTATATACAACCAACTATGCTCAACGTAACTACTGGCATCTTTATCATTTATTTTTTCAGTTTTACTGGTTCTGATTATTCTTATATAAGGATATTAAAAACGCTTTTAATGTTTTTTATAGTAAAATGTACACTTTTTTAAATTTTTCCATTCCTAAAGCCAAAAAATGGCCAACAACTCTACTTCCAGGTCTCCAAATTAGTTCTCTCAAGATTGGATCTATAAGATTAAAAAGAAAAATAGTCCGCATTGTTTGTGTTTAAATAAAGCCTCAGAGAGTCCAAAGAGTGTTGAATTTCAGCTTTTAAGAAATGATATTAAAAACCAAACCAAATATGAGCATATACAAACGTTCACTTGAAGACCATCTACTTGCTGACCCAAACAAATTCTGGACTTTCTTTAAGACAAAATATAAGAATAGTGGAATTTTCATAAAAATGACATTAAACAACTTCAAGTTTAATACACCTTTTGATATTGCGAGTGCCTTTGCTAAATATTTTGCATCAGTGTATGATATATCTGACTTCACACATTGTCATTCTCAAAATACTGAGTGGGGTTCTTTTACCTTTAAATTTATCACAGAATTAGATGTTGTAAAAAACTTAAACCCAAAAAATCTACATGCCCTGACAATATATTACCCTATATCTATAAGGGAATGACTGAACCCTTGGCTAAACCTCTGGCGTTTTTGTTTAATATGTCGATTGAACAGAATATTTTCCAGATATTTTAAAAGTGGCAACAATTTCCCCAATGCATAAAAAAGATAAAAAAAATGACATTCAAAACTACGGTCCTATCAATATGTTAAATAGTATTGCTAATATTTTTGAAAGTATTCTTTATGATGATATCTATGAGCATGTTAAGAGTAAAATTAGCAAATTCTAGCATGGTTTTGTAAGAGACAAAAGTAACTAATCTCTGTTGTTCTCTCTGAACATATTGCTAAGGCTATTAAGGCAGGGGAACAGTGGGACGTTTCGGTTTCTCAAGAAAAGCTTTTAGTTTATTAAAATCTTATTTATCAGATAGAAAGAACACAGTAAAAGTAGGTAATTGCTTTTCTCACCGATATACGTCATCCTCAGGAGTCCCACAGGGAAGCTAACTAGGACCTTTGCTCTTTATTTTATTTATTAACGACTTGCCAAACTGTATTATATCTTGAAATAGCTTAATGTATGCCGATGATTTTAAACTTTTTAAAACAATCTTTAATAAGAAAGATGCAGTCAAATTGCAAAATGATCTAAGATCAGTTATTCAATGGTTTAACGATTCAAAAATGACTCTTAAGGTTAAAAAGTGTGCAGTAGTTTCATATATGTGAAAACTCACTAGTGTTGTCAAACTCAGAAATGATTGAAAAACTGCAAAAAACGATTTTTTGGAAACCAGGAAAAGTTTGAAGTCAACCCTGCTAAACTCTACCAAGAAGAATAAAGAATTACTGAAGTATCGAAAGATCAAATCTCAAAGTGCTAAATTTCGTGCTGCCAAGAGGAAAGTTTTTGACGAATCATTATCTGATGAATAAGTAGCGCTCTTCTATCAAGAAAGTATTGATTCTTGTGACATTCATTTTTTCTATAACGATAAAGAGCAAGACATTGATGTTGTACCAAATATTTTACTTGATGACTTTGTCGTATTGAAGGTTTTTGGAAAAAAATCATACAGATTATTTGTCGCCAAAGTCTGCCAAATAAATGATGATGGTTATGAAGTTGTATTTTTTAAGCGACTGCCCAAAACATTTCGTTTTCGTGAGACAACGGAAGATGCCTTTTTTTCCAAAGGACCATATTGTTTTCAAGCTCTCAAAGCCAATAAAAACCAGCTCTTTCAGATTTTCAAATTCAGTAAGATTCTCAGACGACCTCGTTAAATTAACGTTTTGTATGTTACTTTTGGTTTTTTTCAATGAAGAATGGTTTCTTTTAAACGCCTACCATCTCTTTTATTTTTATTTTATACATTTTTTTTTGGGCCAAAAATACGCATTTGCATACTCCTGCCTTATTTGTAGGGGCAAAAGTACGCAAATGAAGATTTTTTAAAAACTTTTTTTTATTTATTAGTGAACTTATAAAACTACTGTTGATACTTATAATGGAAAAACAATATGTAAGCACTCTCGTAATACCATTTAAAAAGTTCTACACTGGTATAATTTCTGAAGACGACAGGACATAACGAAACTGCGTGTTTTTGTCCCAACTACCCTATATCAAAAACAAACTATCGACTTATCTTGGAAATACACGAATTATTCTTGTGTAGACGTCATTAGTAACAATTCAGATTAATTAACTTCAAAAGTAATGAGTTCAAAGCCCCAATGAGACAGTGAGCAATGAGTTCAAAGCCCCAATGAGACAGTCCCAATATGGCGAAACATATCATGTTGCGACAGAAGCATAAACTTTAAGGCACCACACTGTTTATTTTAATAAATATATCCAACGTCTTTTATATTTATAAATAACTTTTGAATTGTTACCTGGTCTGTTAATATTCGACCTAGGTGTTGTTTCTCCTCTTGGTAAATTAGGATACAGATTACCATTATGTCCAGTATTTCCACTTTGTGATAAATAATTGGTGTTTCCACTAGTATCATATCCTACATGTCCCACTGAAAACAACAATAAATAGTTTAGTATTTTCATTGGGTTTTTCATAAATTCTAAATAAATAAAAACGAAAAATATAAATAATAGAGAAAATAAAAAAAAAAACAGAATTTTATATAGAAATTAATCATAGCGGTTCGATTTGAACCTCTGTGTTTTGAATGACAAGTTTCGTTACCGAATACCAATACATTTCACAAATAGAAAAATTAATTACCTTTAAAACCGTCTAGTGTAGACGGTTCTAGGACTAATTAAAAAAGATAATGTTGTTTAAAGTGTTTTACTTTTAACGATTTATGCTAACTTTTGTAACGATTTGCATTGCCTCGGTACCGTCAGCGCTTCGTAGTCACGCATCCCTACCAGAAGTTCCTCCTCCATAGATATCCGCTAGACTATTGATCTAGTGGCAGTTCCGTAGCCGGTCTGAGATTGATCTGAGACATACCTATTCTCCCCTGTGACCAAGTACTGATTAGACACCGTCCGTTTCTCGCCGGGCCCAGTGTTATTTGGCCCGCTTGATTTTTATTCTTTTGACCCGTTCCCTAACGTATGTGTCCTGTGTGTTAGTGTATTAACACAGTATAATTGCTGCTAAGATGTTATATCAAAACTTGTATTTTATTTTTCGCAGATATTAAACAGTGGATCATACCGCCATTGATCGCCATCGCCAGGATTAACGTTTTTAATTTTTATTGTATATATTACATAGGATATAATTGAAATCAAATTTAACTAAAGGAAAATCAAATATAACTAAAATCAAAAATCAACAGGGGAATACGGTGACCGAAAAAACTCAAATAATCAAGGAAATACAAACATTCTATAAGAATCTTTATACATCTACTATACAGAACCCCGAACCAGACCACAGAACAATTCTAAACGTCGGCTCAGAAACCCTCCCTAAAATAACCTCTTCGGAAATTAGACATGCCTTACAGCAAATGAAAAACAAAAAAGCTCCCGGCGAGGATCGTATAACGTCTGAAATGTTAAAAATGGGCGGCAACATCGTTGTAGAAGTTGTGGAAGTCTTACTGAAGTGTCTAACAGAAAAAAGAATACCCAGCCTATGGGAAAACGCCGAAATAATACTTTTACACAAGAAAGGAGACACTACTAATATTGAAAACTACAGACCTATTAGTTTGTTGTCACACTTACACAAATTGTTAACAAGAATAATAACCAACCGCATAACACAAAAACTTGATTTATATCAACCGGTTGAACAGGCGGGATTTAGAAAAGGGTTTGGCGCTAATGATCACTTACAAACCATCAGAACACTAGTAGAAAAAACCACAGAATATAATGTACCTTTACATATGGCATTTATCGACTTTCACAAGGCTTTCGATAGTATTGAGACTTGGTCCTTTTTGTCAGCCCTGAAGGATGCTCGAATAGACTCACGGTACACTACACTCATTAAAAACATTTATGAACAGGCCACATTCCACATCAAAATCAATGAAGACGAAAAAACTGAAAAAATGCGCCTTGATAAAGGTATTAGACAAGGTGATACTATTTCACCAAAGCTTTTTACCTTAGCATTGGAAAATGTATTCAAACAGCTTGACTGGGAGGAAAAAGGTGTAAACATTGATGGTGTACGTTTGAGTCATTTGAGGTTTGCGGATGACATAGTATTATTTAGTACAGATATCAAGGAACTGGAGCAAATGTTGAAGGAATTAAACCAGCAGTCAAATAAAATAGGTCTCAAAATGAACCTTCAGAAAACAAAAATAATGAGTAATTTACAAACTAATCTTGTTATTGACAACGTCAGTCTTGAAAATGTAGACCACTATATATATCTTGGACATACCATTAAAATCGGCAAAGAAAATCAAATAGCCGAAATAAAAAGACGCATACAACTGTCTTGGGGAGCTTTCGGCAAATTAAGCTTTATTTTGAAGAATAAAGATATACCAATGTGTCTAAAACGTAAAGTTTATGACAAATGTATCTTGCCTGTAACTACATATGGACTGGAGACCATGGCCTTCACAAAGAAAACCTTAGAGCAGCTCAGTACAACCCAAAGAGCAATGGAGAGGGCCATGCTAGGGATTAGTTTGAGAGACAGGATTCGAAATAACGTCATTCGTGAAAGAACAAAAATTACTGATGTCTCAGAACGTATTGCAAGGCTCAAGTGGCAATGGGTCGGACACGTTGCACGAGATAATCCCGAAAAATGGACACAAAGATTAACAAACTGGAGACCAAGAGAGAACAGGCGAGGAGTAGGCAGACCGCAGAAGAGGTGGACAGACGATATCAAACAAGTCGCGGGCAAGCAGTGGATGAGAATTTCCAAAAGTAGAAATCGATGGAAGCAAATGGAAGAGGCCTATGTCCAGCAGTGGACGAACACAGGCTGAAGAAGAAGAAGAAGAAGAAGGATATAATTTTATTTTGTTATTTATTTATTTAAAATATATTTTTATTTTATTTCAACCTATGTTTTTACTGAGTCTGCTGTTTAAAAGAGCAACTCGTCACACTTTATGGCTAATTTTTAAGTTCTTAAGATCTTCTAGGACTATCAAAAATATATGAAAACAGTTTGCGGCGGTAACTCTTCTTTAAAGCGGCTAGAACCCCTGGTACATAGGCTGATACAGTTTAATCATGTTGAGTGGCAGGAAAATGGTTTTTGTATTACTCTTTTAGGTTTGTTTCATTTATCCATGTATAAAGATACTTAGTTCTTTAGATTTACCTATAAGATAGACCTAGAGCTTACCTTTCGATGTTGTATTACTGCAGACTAAGTTGGGCCTGTAGTAACAACACGTTTTTTGCTGCTCTTGTACCAAGTAGAAGACTTTCATGCTTCTAAGCAAAGCTTTTGCCTGCCAAAAGTCTAAAAGTCAACCCTGTTTTATCGCAATTGTAAATTTGATCCCCTGTCAAACCTTCACTATTTTTTTTAAATTTTCTTTTAAAGAGTAAAAGACCCGTTATGTTACCAGAAAGTTTTTCTCCACATACAGTAAGCTATCTGAACTCGTACCAATTTTTCTACCGGTCAAGCCAACCGATATTTGCTACAAAATCTGGCTCAACTTCCTTGCTCACTCTCAGATGTCGCCTTTGAAGTGGGTCAGCACGGCATTGCCATATTTTAAACGGAAACATAAACTTGAATTAAGAAATTTGTGACAAGCTACGACAAAACTGTAATTTAAATAATTTTTAGAGATTATTAATTAAGTAAATTTAAAATAATTTAATCTATCCTTCAACTAGAAGTACGACATAAAATATTGCATAGTATGTCTATAGTTGCCGTAAATAAATTAAACCGGGTTAATTTTTCTGATAATTTATCGACTGTTCTAACAACCATTCAAATTTCGTCATTTTGTGTCATGTGGAACAATTTCACCCAATCATGTCAACATTAGACTGATAATTGCATTCAGTGCAATTTTCAATCCCTATGACAACACGATCGAGTTTGACAACTTCATCCAAATAAATTTCAAAATGTCACGTTTCGACAATGAGAATGTTCAAAGTATAAATGAGTTAATCAAAGAAAAAATTCCCAGAAATACAACCTACATCAACAATTGCTAAAAATTACTGGTCATGGCAATCAGAATTCTATAAAACCATACTTGAATCTCGATCAAGAACACCACAACAAGATAATAAATTTAATTAAAAATCCTTTGTAATAGGTATATATAGATATATATATATATATATATATATATATATATATATATATATATAATATATATATATATATATATATATATATATACATATATATATATGGTATACAGCCAACCACAGGAACGTAGATTCCTTGTGAAAGATAATAAATATTATGCGTGGTAATAGATCTTCTATAGTAGAGAACAGCAACGAATCTAATGTTAACTTAAATTTTAATAATTGTACTTTCACTAACTGTACTTTTAATAAATAAATGTTTCGTTATGTTGAGTTATGATTTTTTTTTTCAAAAAATTATCCGCCGAATATCCCTCGGACATTGATGAATGCCTCATAATTTCATGACAAATGTCTCATGCTCGTTGCTCAGTCTTCGGCTTCGTGCTGTTACTAAGGAACGAGCTTTCGATTGTCATGAAATTATCTCGTCTATTATCAATGTCCTAGGGATATTACTACTGAAAATTTCACTGAACAGCGTTGACTCCGTTTAAAAGATGGCTGATTCCGTCTGCGCGAACGAGATGCGCGTACTTATCTTGACAAGCAGAGTCGGCGTTCTGATTGTTTGTTATTCTGTGCTATAGGCTTGAAATTAAGGTTCTCTTTTTTCTAGTTTGACAAAACCATAGGTACAGTGATTCACTACTTCTTTGAATTTACGTTCTTTCATAATTTTTCTTTCCTCTACCCGCTTCTTTCCTTAAACGTTTCAGTACAAATTCACTTAATACACCCCACAAAATTTAATTCTGTTTCATGTGGTCGAGTTGTCCGAACTGCTGAGTTATTGATGAAGTTTGTGAGCCTAAGTTACTATCTTCCCTGGACCTGGACTTAGAGAGAGGAAAAAGAGAGACTGATAAAATTAAGCGATTGTCATCGAAGAAATAAAGAAATAAAGGAATAAACCAAACTAAAACTAAAAAGTAAACATATTACCTTTGCCCACATCATCAACACATTTTGGTGTATCTCCATCCATTTTGCATACTTTGGTAGGCGGACAAACATACGTAGCGCAAGTCCTGGGACCACTTGAAACTCTTTGGCATGTGGGATAGCTGTAAAAATTATAAAAGTTAATTTAATAATAAGAAAACATAGTAGGTTTTATGGTAGTTGGCTGTAAAACGTAACGACCAGACAGGATGAAATGGTCGTATCGATATTAAAAAGAAAAGTCTTAAAAAAATTCTACGTGGCAGTAAGATTTCTAGAAAAATAGCCTATACGAACCATTATAGACTCAGTGTGATATATTGGGGCTTATATCATAAGGGCTTGATTAATATACGAAATTATGATGACTAGGTTACCTATAACGCATTCAGCAACTTACTGCAAGAGGAGTAGTATATTAGGATCAAAGACTGTAAGAATTTAAAGAGGAAAGTGCAAACGATCGGACTCTAGAAGGATTGTAATGGAAAGTGATGAGAAAAGATTAAGTCTCGTAGTTGTTCATGCTTAAGTTCATAGTATTCAAAGGTAATGATATTTAAAATATCAAGAATAAACTAAAGATGCCCAAAACAGAGCACAATGGACAAAAATGAGGGAGGCCTATGTCCAGCAGTAGACGCAAAGGGCTGGGTGCTGATGATGATGAAACTAAAGATTATAAGTATAAAACAAAAAATATTCTACCAAGAAAGTACTCTTTGAGTCCATCTCAAATAAAAAAGCCTCTCGCAATATATTTCATGAAGAACTGAGATGTGCTAGGCTTTTGACATGATCACAATACAATAACCCTCTCGAACTAATCATTATGTCGAAACTTGGAAGAAGACTAACGATATATGACTTTGGTAAATCATACATACACTAGAATATCAGATATAAGCCATATTGTACGCAGTTATACTGCCAAACTGAATTTAGGACGGTGTAATATAGTTGAACATTTTTTTTTAACCTATTCTCTATCCTTCCATTGTTGAATATAGGTCTCCCCCAGTTCTCTCCATCTTTCCCTATCTTGAGCTGTTCTCTGCCATGTGGGACCTCCTTGTTTCCTGATGTCATCTTTCCACCTCATCTGTGGTCTGTCTCTTGATCTCTTTGCATTGTATCAATTTCCGATGGCATTGTTCCATCGTCCGTCTTGGAGACGTTCATTGTGTCCAGCCCATTTCCATTTCAGTTCTGCTGCTTGTTCTATCGCGTCTACGGTCTTTGTTCTGGTTCTGATCCACTGGTTACGTTTTCTATCTCTAAGTGATACACCCAACATTTGTCTATCCATCGCTCTTTGTGCCTGCCTTATCCTATCCAAATTGGCCTGTGTAAATGTCCATGTCTGAGCTCCGTAGGGAGCACCGGTATTATGCAGGAGTTATATACCTTGCTTCGTAAGTATAGAGGAATTGTTTGATTTTTTAGAACGTAAGAAAGTTTGCCGGACGTTGCCCATCCCATTCTTACTCGTCTCGATATTTCGGCTGTTTGATTTTCTCTGTTAGCTCTGATTGCTTGTCCTAGATAGATATACTCATTTACCTGTTCTATTTTTTCTGTTTTTATTTTTATTGCCTCTTGGTCTTCCGTGTTTGTCACTACTTTTGTTTTGTTGAAGTTAATTTTTAGGCCTTTTTGCAGTGATTTTTCATGAAGTTCATTTAACATTAATTCCAGTTCTTGTCGTTCCGAGGAGATCAGGAGTATATCATCCGCATATCTAAGGTGATTTAGGTATTTTCCGTTAATACATATTCCTCTGTTTTCCCAATCTGTTGATTTTATTATGTCTTCGAGGGTCAAGGTAAACAGTTTAGGTGAAATTATATCGCCTTGTCGGACTCCTCGTTTAACTTTTATATTATACGTTATTAATTTATCGTCCAGAATTACGGTCATGGTTGCGTTTTGGTAAATATCATGTATCAATTGTCGGTATCTTGAATCTATTCTACTATTGACTAGAGCTTCTTCAACCGCCCAGTGTTCAATGCTGTCGAAAGCCTTTTCATAATCTACGAATGCTAAGTACAGCGGAAGGTTGTATTTATTGGTTTTCTCAATTAAGATTTTAAGCGCATGTAGATGGTCGATTGTGCTGTATCCTTTCCTGAATCCGGCCTGTTCCACTGGTTGGTAGTTATCAAGTTTATAGGTTAGTCGGTTGTTTATTATTCTTATGAAAGAATGGTAAAAAAGTAGTAAGAATAGTAGAAAAGTATAGTTGAGCATACATAATTAATTATGAATAAGATATAAATTAAAAATGGCAAACGTAAAAAGAATAAGAATTACATCAACGAAATTAAAAAAAAAAGAGTTTTTGTCTATAACAGAATTAAATGTTAGGAAAATCAAGAAAGCAATTGAATAGAATAATCCTGTGAGAAAATAAGGATGCTATATCCAAAAGGTTAAGGATAAGAGAGGAGTAGTTTATACTTACGAACCGCATTCCCCTTGTCTATGATAATAACTACATGGATCTGTGGCCATGACACATTCTTGAGAACTGGGACATCCTATGTCTTTACACGACCTTCCATATTCTAAAAATATAAAAAAAATTATTATTTGTTTGTTAACAGTTCTATAGAGATCTACAACTTAATGCAGCGGCGAAAAAACATGATAATAATGGGAGATCTCAATCTAAAGTGGAAAAAGGTAAAATTGAAAACATCATTGTTGAAAATGGAATAAGTCTACGAAATGAAAGAGGCGATATATTACTTTAGTTCATTGAAGAACATAATTGTTATGACTGCATGGTTTAAAATACCGTCTTACAAATTATTCACGTAATAACGGTATCATCTGAGAGTGTATTTTTTGGATACTTTATTAAGGCGGTATAAAATTGTGCTCCAAAAGCTATCTCAAATCTTCTCAACTTTTTAGGAATTCCTAAAACTTCGCATCTTGTGTTTGTCTTTTTGTGAAGTCAGTTTCATGGAAGTTAAAACGGTTAAAATTTGATTCCATGACTGTCTAAGGCTTTGGAAAGTAATCGTCCCTGGTCAGGCACCAAGTAGTTGATAGCTTTTTGTAGTATTTTTTGGTTATCGATCTCGGATATCAAACGTTCCTATCTTTTTGTCGAGCTTGTAAAAAACATATTTCTTCCTTTTTTTTCTTCTTCCTTTTTATAAGCAATTTTGATTGTCAATTAGCGGACTAATAGCTTTATGGAAGGTTGTAACTCCATCTTTTGCGCGGTTGTCCAATACTTTTTTTGCCGATTGGTGTCTTATTTCTAGCTACTTTGACGACACGAGACTCCTCCATTCTGCTTATGTGTTTATTCCATTCTTTTTTTTATTTTATGTCCATTCATTTATAGGTACACTGTACGTTACATTTTATTCTAATTTCTTCTCTTCTCTTTTGATCTTTCAGCGTATTTTCTGTAATTCTTCTCAGTACTCTCATCTTTACCATTTCCAGTAGCCTTTGTGTTGTAGCTGTGTCAGGTCTTGTTTCTGAGGCATATGTCATTCTTGGTCTTACACTAGCTTTATAAATTCTTGACTTCATCTCAGTGCTAATGTGTCTGTTTCGCCCTATAGTGTTATTAAGACATCCTTCCAGTTTATTTGCTTTTTGTACTTGATCTCTCACTTCTTTGTTCAGTTCTCCATAGTTGGACAGTGTAATTCCCAGGTATTTTATTTATATTACTTGTTCAATACTGATGCTATTAATTTCTAATTTACATCTGGTTGGTTTTTTGCTGACTACTACTGTTTTGGTTTTCTGAGATGAGATTATCATATTAAATTCATTTGCTCTTATGTTAGATCTGTGGACCAGTTTTTGCCGACTATCTTTATCTTGGGGTATCAATATTGCGTCTTCTGCGAACAGAGTATTTTTATTTCTTTGTTTCCCATTCTATATCTTCTTCTTTTGTTAACGCTTTTGCTAATTTCGTTCATGATTGAATTGAAGAGCATGGGGCTCAATGAGTCCCCTTGTCTTATTCTGCTGCCTATTTCTAAAGGTTCTGTAAGTTGTCCATCTATTTTAACTTCCATTTTGTTGTATTGGTAGATGTTTTTGATACTCTGTCAAAGGTTTTCTTTAGGCTAATCAGACACAGAAATGCTGGTCTATTATATTCTTGTGATCACATATAATTCTTGAAGGACCTTAAAAAATTCAGGGATTTTGTAAGCGGGTGAGTTCTCGTAGATACTGAAACGATTTTTTCAGTCACTAAATCCATTTTTACTGTCAAATAGGGAGCATTTGTTGATATTTTTGCCACACCTAAATATTTGCCGCCTTAGGACAGGGCATATTAGGCCTTATGTTAAATATGGCCATGCAAAAATGTCGCGATCAACAAACAGAGATTATAGACTATGAAAAGGCCTTTGAGAAAGTCAAGGACGAAAAACTTATAGAATTTAAAAAAAAAACAATATCGCCAACCTTCAGTAGAGACGGTACCTAAGGAAGAAAAATACTGTTCTTAGCTAATCAAATAATTTATTTCGAGCTATTGGTTCTTGTTATACTTTGTTTTAAACTTGATATAACATAGGTTTTTTAACAAATGCTTCAATAATTTTAATAAATCTATTATATAAACTGAATCTTAATAAAATTCAGTAAATTATTTAATATTATCAAACTAACTTTAACATTTAAAACAAGAAAATTTCAAATAATTTTGAAATTCTTACTCACTGATATACGTTATTTCCAAACGAAGTATAATAATTATGCTCAGTAAGCAATAAAATAAAATGACAAGTATTCTTTAATAATGCTTATATACTGTATTACAAAATCACATAATGGAACCACTTTCCGAGTAAAATTATTACCAAATTTGGCGATGTCTTGTTTGTAAAATACCAGATCTCGTTGTGAAGGTGAAGGTCGCTCAGTCATAAAACATAAACATTAACTTGACCTACGCTGGAACGTTTTGTTTAACTTGATAAATTGAACTTGTTAAAGTGTTGGATGTGGGTTGCAAATTTGCATATTTTGGGAACAAAACGACATAATAGGTTTGCTTAACCGACAGGACGTTTGTTGGATAATTGTAATTAATGTAACTGTTTGAATTAAATTGAGCCATTTCAATTATTTTTGCATCCGAAGTTTTGTAAACACTTGTGACACTTTTGACCTTGACAATATCATTTCTTGCACATGCCTATAAAGTATAGAGAAAAATATATAAGGATAAAATGTTAACGAAGACAATTTATATTTTATCCAAATAAAAAAAATGTACCTATTCAGCGCAAAATAAAAAAAAGCGGAGTAGTTTTTAACATACAAAAGACAGTTTTGGTGTTTATAAAAGCAAAAACATATCAAAAAAGCTTAAGAATATAGACTAATAAAAAGGATCTAACCCAATAAATAACTGGAAAAAATAACCTAGAGGAACTGAAAGTTGGTTAGAGCGCTGAAGATATAGGGGAGGTTCTTGATAATGTGTCTGATAAGGAAATACTTCTGGTTCGTTTACAAAGGTCACATTATTTTAAGGTACCACGGTTTTCCGAAATTGGTCAATATAATGTTTTAAACAATTCCTCAACCTCTTGCATCCACTGTTGGATATAGGTCTCCTCCATGTTCTTCCACTGTTCTCTATCTTGCGCCTTCTGTATCCAATTTCCGACTGTTTTTCTCAAGTCGTCCATCCATCTTTTTGGTGGTCTGCCTCGGTGTCTTTTGTCTTCTCTAGGTCTCCATTCTATAAGTCTTTTGGTCCACCTATTATCATTTAAACGTGCTATATGTCCAGCCCATCTCCATTTGGCTTGTGCAATTTTTTCTGACATCTGTCACTTTAGTCCTCTCTCTCACTATCCTATTTGGTACCATATCTCTTCTAGTTATTCCCAACATTGCTCTTTCCATTTTTCTTTGGGTTACTCTCAATTTATTTGCAGAATGTTTGGTTAAAGTTATTGTTTCGGAACCATATGTTATTACTGGCAGTATGCATTGGTTGTAAACCTTTTTCTTCAAGCAAATCGGTAGCGTTCCTTTTAGAATATCTCGCATCTTGCCAAATGCTGCCCATCCCAAGCCTATGCGACGCTGGATCTCACAAGTTTGATTGTCTTTTCCTATTCTAATTTCATGCCCTAAGTAGATATAGCTAAAAACCTGATGTACTTCGTTCCCATCTACCCTCATAACATCACTTGGAACTAAATTGGTCATGTATTTTGTTTTTTCAAAGTTTATGTTCAGGCCTATTTGTTCTATTGCCTGTTTTAGTTCTTCCATCATTTTGTGAGCTTCATTTAAACTCTCGGCTATAATGACAATATTATCTGCAAAGCGCAAGTGGCTTCACCATCAATATTTATTCCCCTTTTAGCCCAATCTAGTTTGTAAAAGGCAGATTCCAGAGCTGCAGTGAATAGTTGGGGGGAGATGGTGTCGACCTGTCTAATTCCTCGCTCAATTCTATATTTATCGGTAAAGTCATGGAGTTTAACAAATGCTGTTGCGTTGTTGTATATATGTCTTATCAAATTTCTATATCTATAGTCTACTCGGCTTTGTTTTAATGCTCCTAATACTGCCGGTAATTCCCCGGTATCCGACGGTATGAGACCGATAAGTCTGTTGTCACATCTCTACAAATGGTTTACCATGATCATCACAAGGAGCAAGCTGGGTTTAGGAAAGGTTATGGAACAAATGACCACCTACAAGCACTTAAAATACTAATTGAAAAATGTGTTAAATATAATAAACCACTCACGTTGATTTTCATAGACTTCAAGAAAGCTTTTGATACCGTGGAAATACCGTGGAATTTTAAACAATAGATATCATCAAATTGGACTTGGTAAAGTAACAATCCATACTTTTTAACAATTGTGCCAAATTTCCAAAGTTCCTTGTTTCCTTGGCAATACCTTCTCTCTCTCTCTCTCTCTCTCGCTCTCTCTCTCTCTCTCTCATATTTAAATTTCTTGCACCACGGGGTTAATTTTTTGATTTGGTAAGTCTTAGTGGATGTGGTGCGTCGAGTTTGATTCTTAAACTTTTGTTTAAGTATATTTCAGCAGGTGATTTCCCACAGGAAAGTGGTGTCGTTCTATATTTTTAAAGATTTTTTTGTACTTTTTTATGCATGGGTATACGATCAGTAAAGATAGCTTGTAGTCTCACTTTTAGTGTTTGAACGCCTCATTCAGCTAATCTATTTGTAGCAGGATGACCAGGAGTAATAAACTTTTGAAAACTTCCACGGGTTTTGGAAATTTTTTAAAATTGTAGAGTTGTCTGATGGCATAACTTGAGGATATCCGTAAAAAGATCATATCTACAACAGAAGATCAATGTTTTTTTCTGATCCCTAAACTTTGATTTCAGCCCATCGTGATTTTGCGTAAACCGCTTTTGCGTATCAAAAAATAAAAACCTTGGAATGGACCCGCATAGTCAATATGGATGCTTGATGCTATGATTTAGTGGACTTTTGTAGGTGATTTTAAAATTTAAGCGCAAGGTTGACATGCCCATAATTTGAATATATTTATCCATGTTATAGCAA